CTCTTCACAAGTAACGTTATTCTTATTCATGGTTGCCATAAATAGAAAACCAGTGCGTAATTTCGCCTTCGCTCGAGTTTATTATCCTTATAGCTAAAGCAACCGGTCTTGTTCATAAACTTGTCCTCTCTATTATTATGGACCAAATATTTTAGTTCACAAAAGATTTATTAGGTCACGACTTTAGGATAACCTAAAAAAAAACACAAAAACATAATATAAAATGAATGTTGCCATGCATGTGGGTTTTGGATGACGATGCCAACATGTACGACATTCGTTCTCTCACGATTATCTATATTAGAGCTCTTTTGTACTGTGTATACGGTCATACTACATAATAGAATAAGAAAAAAATGATTTTTTTTTTAAATAATGTTTGACTTTATCATTAAATTTGGGAATCCAATTAATCAAAGATTGGAATCCTACAAGATGACACATAATGTGTGCCTCTCTAAGCGAGTAGCGGGGTAGTCTATGATATTAAAATCATAATTTTAAATAACGTCGAATTGTTTGCTTATATGACTTTACATCTCACAAACAGGTGTTTGCCAGAAAAATTTACTATGCTAATTAAGTTTTTGAAAACAATTCGTCCGTCATCGTTTTTCACATGTGAATAGTGCAATCATGATTCCGATTCAAATAATTTTTTTAAATTATCATATATTTATGATAATATATATAGGATGTAGTTATATGTACGTATGAATAAGAGACCAACTAGTTCATTAATATAGTATAAAAAGTAGATAATTATTGAATAAAAAGGATGTAAGAGTTGACAAAAACAAACAAAAGAGATGCGAAAGGTGACGAGGTTGTATCGTTTGATAAGTCCAAAAGGCCAGGAGGGGCTGTCCTAGTTAGCAATTACAAAGTAAATACGTCATGTTTTTTAAAAAATACCCAACAAATTAAAAATATTACTTCATTTATTAAACGAAAAAATGACGTATTTACTTTGTACTCAACAAAGTTCCTAATATTACTACATCCGAAAATTTCAGAAAATATTACAAACTTTAGGTTCATAAGATTTAAGAACAGTCAAATCATTTAGTACTCGTTCATAAGCATTTATGAATCTTGCACAAAGCTTAAAGTTTGTGGTATTTTTCAAAGTTGTAATACTTGAAAACTTACACTTATTTGTTTTTGTTAAGAAACTTAAACTATCTGTTGGGAGTTTCAAATTCATCTCTTCAAAAATACACTATTGTCACCGAACAATAAAGGATACATAACTAAAAACTCGTAAATATACCTCATTTTGTCGCTAATATTGTAGCAAGCACCAAAAAGTGATAGATTCCATCAATTATGAATAGAGAGGTTTACTAAAACAATCTTAAAAAATGGTTTTTTGATCAAAAAGATGCTAATCTTTCATAATTACTCAAACAATTTTGAAAGATTTATTATATCCGTTTTAGCCTACTTTCTTTGAAGACAAAAAACGTATTTACCAAACTGCCATTAATGAGGCAGCAAAATTTTCTCGCCAAAAGCGAATAAATGTACCGTTCATGTGATGGTAGATTTATTTGCGATTGGTAGATTTATTAAGTGGTTGGTAGACTTATTGATGGTTGCGCAATCGTAGACTTATTTATAGTAGTGGCAGATTTATAATATGTGGTAGACTTATTTGTAGTAGTGGTACAGTTAATTTTGTGATCGGTAGACTTATTTCTAGTAGTGGTAGAGTTAATTCTGTGACCGGTAGATTTATTGATGGTTTCCGCAATCGTAAACTTATTTATAGTAGTGGTAGATTTATTTTGGAGTGATAGACTAATTAGCAATAGTGGTAGAGTTAATTTTGTGATCGGTAGACTTATTGATGGTTCGCGTAGTCGTATATTTATTTATAGTAGTGGTAAATTTATTTTGGAGTGATAGACTTATAAGTAGTAGTGATAGAGTTAATTTTGTGATCGGTAGACTTATTGATGGTTCGCGTAGTCGTATATTTATTTATAGTAGTGGTAAATTTATTTTTCAGTGATAAATTTATTAGTAGTAGTGGTAGAGTTAATTTTGTGATCGGTAGACTTATTGATGGTTCGCGCAATGGTAGACTTATTTATAGTGGTGGTAGATTTATAAAATATTGTAGACTTATTTATAGTAGTGGTAGAGTTAATTTTGTGATCGGTAAACTTATTTCTAGTAGTGGTAGAGTTAATTTTGTGATCGGTAGACTTATTTCTAGTAGTGGTAGAGTTAATTTTGTGACCGGTAGATTTATTGATGGTTTCCGCAATCGTAGACTTATTTATAGTAGTGGTAGATTTATTTATTAGTAGTGATAGATTTATAATATGTGGTAGACTTATTTATAGTCGTGGTAGTGGTAGATTTATAATATGTAGACTTATTTCTAGTAGTGGTAGATTTATAAATATGAAGTAGACTTATTTATAGTAGTAGTAGAGTTATTCAATAAAGGGTAAAATCGTAATTTACGGATCATCTTCTCCACACAACCAAACTTCTGTCAAACCCTAACAATGGCGGCCAACTACTTTTTAGCTCGTTTT